GCATGCGCATCGATCGCTGCAAACGCGCGATCGAAACGAAGTCTGAAAGCTGCCTTAGTGTTCTGGAGAGTGTAGATGAATACCTTAAGCATACCAGACCGCGTGATTAGGAAAATCATATTTAGGGTAACTCCTGTTTTGCTGTGCTCTCTCAAAAGGTTGGCGTCCGACGTCGATCGATAGCTATTTGTGGCTAGGCTCCTGCCTTCAGCGTTGAAGCGCTATGGCAACGAGAGCGCGGCGTAGCGCGTCGACGCGAAGTCTGAACGCTGTCTTCGCCAGGAAATGATTGCGCATAGGTGAAATGGTTTCTCTGTCCTATCTCAGTGTATTACCAAGAGTGGTTGCAGTGTGACCATTATTTCATTCATTTTTGTAACTCTTGAGAGGCTATGATTTTTGGCTACGTAGTCCGTATCAGTTTATTTCAGGCCATGTACGATAACAATCGTAGCGTTGACATTTGCTATATACATTCTGCGACCGTTTTATCCCGAATGTGATCCACCAGATGGTGTACCGGAACTGCTTGCTCTCCTCCTGATCGGTACTTTATTGTTTTTCCTTTTGTTTTTACAATGGAGTATTACATGAACTGTGGGACGACCCTGACGGCACAGATCATGCATAGTAAGGTGGTAGGAAGGCGTAGAACCCAAGTCGCACCTTTTCAAGACGATAAGGGGGAGGGGCAAGTGCGCGGATGAGGATGAACGGTGGTAATCCAGCTCCGCCCGCGATAAGTGTGAAATTTTCCTCTGACGATGAGTACCGATTTCCCGATCGGGAACCTATTTCGGAACCTCCCGAGGGGTCTTTGCTTCTTCAGTATTTCAGCCACAAATAGGGCCGTTGGCAATTTTTGAGGAAGGGTATCATCGTTCCACTGACTACTGCGCGCGGTCGCGGCGCATGTCTGGGGGCCTATTCATCCTTTCGAGTTTCACTTCTCCCCCCCCCCTCACTTTCCACTTGTCAGTCAGATGTCAGTCCGTATCTTGAAGATGTGGAGGGGGTGGCAACGTACATTGCTAGAATGTGGCGGCTGCTGTGCCTTTTGTGGGAAATACCGCTTTGGAACTAACCTAGTAAAGGTTTGTCTAGTACAAGTCAGGATGGTAGTTGTCCAGATGGGAATATTGAAGGACCAGCCAATCCTATGTCGTTTTAAAATAAAGTACGCAATCACGCCCTCTCCATCTTCGGGATATGGGGTGTACATTATATGGGGGAGGGGGACGGGGTAACCGCTAACCGATAATCCAAGATTTATCGATCGATCTGTTTCAGTGCTGATGACGGCCATCAATTGTATATCAGTACGTATCGCAACGTTCGTACAGGACTTCTTCACTGTAGCAAAGGTGTTCGCTTTAGTGCTGATTATTGGTACCGGAATGGTCTTGTTGATGACAGGTATGACACCGCTTACTGTACTTTTACCTGAGGAAGACCATAAATCGACATCTATTACAGGAAGACCAGAATATCGTGAATCATTCGAGAACATTTTTGAAAACAGCTCCAAAGATTTCTCCACACTATCCATTGCATTCTACTC